TGGGGGCGTGTACCTGTTTTCGTACAAGGTCGCGCAACATTACCGACGAAAAGCGCCAACACCAAAAAAACGCCTTTTTCCCTGGCATGGAATACCTGCATCTTGGTTCGGGGGAAGGGGCGGGGGGGGGGAGGGGGAGCACCTGCATAGTTGCCCATGGCCGTCCATGTTTGGTTTTGATGTGATACCTGAAGAGTTCGTTCCCCCCTTACTGTCCTTGCAAATTCCTTCCGTTTTCGTGTTCATGCATGGCATTCCGTGGTTTGTACGCCGAGAATTCCTTTGTGAGCAAAAAATACACCCTTTTTCACGCATGAATGGCGTGCCCTTGACACACGTCGCGTGAGAGACACAGCGGCACAGCGGCTAGTCGCAAGTACAAACGAGGGGCGCAACAAGGAAGATTGCACATCCCGCACCGCTGTTGAGGAGGTGAAGAGGGAGAGGCTAGGGCGACCTGTGTTCCGCTATGTGTGTGGTGAAACACAACCGTTTCAGGGTGGATGGAAGTAGAAGAGACACCCGCTCAACGTGTCTATCCCTGCCGCCGCCTTCATATACAGTTTGTCCCTTACCACCACGTTCGCTCAGGAGGACCGACGCGTGAATCTAAGTGCTACAAGGCTACAACAGCCCCGCTCACTTCCAACTCCCTCCCTTCGTGCCAAGAGCAGGAAACGCACTCGGCTTCCGCTACGTAGGGTACGCCTGCATGTGCCTGGCTCAGATGATGCGGAGCTACGATGCTTTTCGAGGTGCTTTTCCTTCTTTTTTTGGTCTGCCCCAGATTGAACCCTGACTCAAAAGGCGCCGTAGCGACGTGTTACAACCCTATGTTCCTCACAAACTAAGTCACGCTATTGTAGGGCATGCGCGTCAACACACTCCACACACCTTGATCTCCACGGGGATGCAGCGCCTGCTTCCTCTCCCGCCAAGCTCAAACTCGTCGGTCGTGAAATCAGGCCAGTTCCCCGCCTTCACGTCGTCTACGAGGGAGACGAAGAAAGGGTAGGGCACGCGAAACCTCCGGCGGAACTGCTTCGCTTCTCTCGTCGTCGGGTCCATCAGGAGGTCTGTCTTCTCTAGCATTTTAGCCCAAGGCATGCTGCGGTAGTCCGCTCTAGGCACGACCTGCCTTCGGCGTTTGGGGGGAGGTTCATCCTCATCTTCACCATCCTCCTGGCGCAACCGCCGCCGCAACGCGCCCATCAACAGCTGCTGTTGATGATGAAGCGCGGCAAGCGCCAACGTGAGCACGGTCAAAACCGCACGAAGCTCCAGCAGGCGCACCATGCTCTCGCTGAAACTGACCACTGCTGTTGTGTCGTGTGGTCGATCTCGAGCGTCGATTCAAAAAATAGGTGCCTACCACTAAACATTGCACGTATCCCCCAGGATTCCAGGTTGGAATTTGCCCTGCATCCGCCATTCCAGCTCGATCCGGCCGAAATTTTCCAAATTGGAATTTTTTGGGATTCCCGCGGCTCCATAACTTAGGATATTTTGGAATTCGGGGGGTTTCATAGGAAACTTTCCCGAGAGTGGGTAATCATTTTTTCACGGAGCCCCCCGAAATTCCAATTTGGAATTCCCCATAACAATTGGCCTAAACCACAATCGACTTCGTAAGTCGCGAGGGAAGGGATTGCTGTACCCTTATCGCGATAAAAATACCTCAGACAGGAACCGCAGGAGGGGGTCCAGCCCCCCCTCCTATGTGACCCTGGTTGGGTCGTCTAGCTAGTAGAAGTGGAGGATAGGGGCCAGAGGGGCAGACGACAGAATCCGATGATGGAAACAAAAAAAGAAAGACTAACCCAAAAAAGGTAACCACACCCACGTTAAATGTTGTTCAAATGCATGCAAGCACGGCGGCTGCTTTCCATTTACCATTACCATGTAGAAAGTATTCTGGCATCGGTCCAATGTAAGGAGTATGGCACTCGCCATGGGCGCAAAACAGATCTAACAGTAGTATACATGGCATCACAACGTGCAGGACGCCACCGCCGACCCACCGGAGATTGGTTTCTGTTGTCAGGAAGCTCTAGAAATCAACGGCTAATGAGAGGCGTTCTTTATCATATACCACGTGCACATTATGGCGATTTTTTCCTGGCCTGCCTGCGCCAAACGGGGCGTCGCTTCTTTCTGTGACCCGACTTATCGATGGCGCTCTCGCACGCTGCAACAACTGGCGACAGGAGGTAGGCAACAGGAGGTACGTATTGCACCCGGGATTAATCATTCGTATATCGGCCACATCTTTGCAGCTGTATGACAGCAGTACTGTTGTAGTCCCGCCGTGGGTGACGTAACATATCTCACCCCTGGCCCTATTCTTCTCAAATCTCGATGCTTCATGAGGAAGACAAAGCGTGCAACTATAGCAGTAGTGCGTTCTCGGAAAGCTCTCGACGTAAAAGGTGAGCAATATCAAGGCTAGTCTATATACGCATAATTTCGGCAACGCCACGCTTTCCGCTGTGTGGGGCTATCCAGCTTCAAAATCGGTCCGGGTAAGTGTGTGTGGTACAACTGCTGTCGTAGACGTTGTGTGACCATCGGCATTTATATTTGGAGAGAGGTATGCAAATGCATACCACATTTTTTTTTTTGTCATTGGACTCTGTCGTCTGCCCCTCTGGCCCCTATCCTCCACTTCAACCAGCTCGACGACCCCACCGGGGTCACATAGGAGGGGGGGGTTGGACGCCCTGCTGCGGTTCCTGCCTGAGATGTTTTTATCGCGAGAAGGGTACAGCAATCTCTTCCCTCGCGACTTACGAAGTCGATCTGTGACACAACAACCCATCTCTGTCTTGAAAAGAGTATCGATAGAGATTGCAACGGCATTTTCTGCTCTTCTTGACATCAAACCGACAAACCGGCGTCAGCATAGAGGGACGAACACAAACACTTGAAAAAGTTTAAAGGAAATAGATTACGTCAACACGCAGGTGTTTTCTTCAACAAGCATGCATGCCAGTTCTTTCATGACGAATCATGAAGCCGGTTGCTGGATTCCACCCGTCCATGCAACGAGAAAGAAAAATAACGCTTTCGTGCGGCCAATTTATGCTGCTATCCCACAGCGGCAGCAGTAGCAGCGTTAAACTATACCTGGAGAGGCACATCGGCCCTACATGAGTCTGCAATTTCTTGTATCTGCGTTCGAAACCTCAATCGTTGCCTCACATTTTTGTGGAATCTCTGCAGAAAAAAATAGTACTATACACCTCTGTAATTGTTATAAGTGAGTGAGAGGGGGCAGCTGGTGCATGTGAGAGCGAGAGGGCAGCAAATAACCAGAGCGTATTTGCTCCAAGGGCGCCGAACGGCCAGCATCTTTGCTTTTCCGGCGGGTGTGAGAAAGTGAGCGCGGGCTGCTGAGGCAGGAGGTCCTCTCGCATACCCTTCTGTCCGGCGCAGTTACCGTGACCTGGCAGAAGAGAGAGAGAGAGAGAGAGAGAGAGAGCCCCGGGATCTAATTGCTACGGCGTGATATGCCACGTTCCTTCATCAGAAAAAATTGATCACCCAAAAAACACCCCCCCTGGGTGATGTAGCCAACACTTTGTATTGTAGAAAATGTGGATGCAGTTTCCCGCTGCTTCGGGGACGATGACCATGCGTGACCATTGCCAACAAAGTGTTCTAAAAAAAGAACACGACGGGTCAATTGCGTCAGCGGCAGCGAGCACAGAAGCGGGCGACTTGTCCGTCGCGGCACCTAGGGTCACGATCCACCCACCCACCGCCCACCTGTCTGCCACCACGACGAGACCCTCTGAAGGAGTGATAGTTGTCAGGGCGTTCGCCCTGCCGAGCACCCCGCATGCCAGTCCAACCAAAGCCGCACGCGCCATCCCGCCGTCCACGTCTCCTCTCGCTTCTACCCAAGCCACACACAGCAAATACCACTACTACTCCCTCCTCCGTAAGCAGTAGGAGTCCCCCGCGAGGCGCTTGTCCGAGATCCGAGGCCGGGAAAGCGTCACCAAACGAAGTTGTCTCTGAGATGAAGGTGCCGAAATGAAGTTGGTGTTGTGACACGCGGCTGAGATCTCCACCATCTTCAAGGATTAGAGAGAGTTCGGAACGGTTTTTTAATGTGGAGACAAGAACGAAGATTGAGATTTTTCATATTTGCTCACTATGGAACGATTCTTAGCTAGTGTCGATATTTTTCACTGCAGTGCCTAACACAGACGGATCGGGAGAGATTCGGGTCATTGTCAATTGCTGCTATGATGGCTTTGGTTGGTTGTTCTTCTGTACGGCCGCAGACACATTCTGACAGCAC